TCAAAAGGGAAATAAAGCTAATTTCAAGGTTAATACCGATGCTTTTCAAATTAGCTCCAATTTTGTCGAATTTCTCTAGGTGAACATGGCATGCATGGCACTGAACACAAAATCGGAAGTTTATTAACATGAATCATAGTTTGTGGGAAAATAAGATTCAAGCCTATCCTACAATAGGGAAAACTCTCAAGAGTTCCTACTAAGATAGCAAGCAGAGGATGTAAATATGGCTCTTTAGGAGTTCAGCTATATTTAACAACAACTTTGCAAAAAGAAAAGCTCTTATGGACTTATGGAACAAAGAGAGTATGTCAAAAGATAGGAGATTGCTAAATTCATCAACCGATAATTTCAAGGGGAAACAAAGACTCAAATCAATTGCTACTATGAATTATGTTGATTAAAGGGCCATGGCTACAATAAAACAATTGGGTGCCATCTTCGAATATGTAGAACAACCAATGGTATATCAAAATCGACAGATGAAACAAGTTTACCACACTTGTGCCACACAATCATATAATATATTGGTATGCAGAAGGGTATACTAATTAACCCTGCAGCAACTTCGAGAACTCAAAAAATTCAACTGCAAATTAAAGTTCATAAGACTTGAAATCGTTGAACTAAACATTTCAAGAAATACGTTAACTATCAAAAGGATCAGTTGATAGCACAATATGACAATGATCCCCAAATTACATCTCATGCTTTGCCATTGACAACTGATTATGATGATATTTTAAATTACTAAGAAGATCATCAGAGTGAGTACGATTCTATTGAGAGTTCATCAACGAACACACTGTCACGTTCATCAGGGTTAGAATTTCTTAGCTTTTTTTAATTTAATATATTAATAATAAGGAAATGATTATAAATACAACTATATAGGTATATATGTAAAATTAAGGATACTTTTATAATTTCCCAAATGTAAGGAAAATTTTCCTTTCAGTACTCATAAGTCATAAGGGTATGTTTACTTAGTTACAATTGTTGTCTTGCTAAGAGTTATGCAAGTATGCGCGCAAGTATACGCGACAAGAAGTAATATAGGGCTTTTGTGAATCCTAGTTATCGTTCCCACAAGGATCTTTGACATTTTTGACTTTGAATAAAATTGTAATTGATAATCAGAACAAAAATAAAATCAAATCAAATCAAATTAAATGACTGCTATTCTAAATCAAGTGTAAGAAAAATATTTTTGTGAGGATTTTCTTTTTAAAATAGAACTTTAGTTGATGAAAGAATTTTTGAACTACTGACTGGAAAATTAATTAAATGGAAGCATTGTAAAAAAAAAAAATTATGATTTCCCTTTAAATTTTAAAACAGAAAATTAAACTTGTGGTTTGGAGGAAAATACAAAATGACAACAAAGATTGATTTAAAAACAGAATTTGGAAACAAGTTGGGTATCAATTTCTCCTTCCCTCATTTGCTATTACGTTGCTTTGACCGAAAAATAGATGTTGCTTTTCTTCAACAATTCCAACTTAACGAAAATACTAATACAACCATTGTTTCCCAACAACGATTTTTTTTTTCATAAATAACAGATGACACATCCCTGTGTATCTGTTATTACAAGACCTTGAAGCACCATTTCCTTAAGTTACATGGGGATAACTTCATCCCTGGAACCATACCCATTGAGAGAGATCTCTCTCAACTTTCCATGTGCTTACAGTGAGGTCTAGTGTGGGTTATTTTCCAATAAATCCACACCACTAGGAGTAGCCTATGTGTGGCCATCACATAATAAACTCAGCATAGAAACGCAAAGTAAAAAAACTAGAAATCGACATTTAAGCATTAAAACAGCAACTTAATAACAACTGAGTTCCGGGTACTCTTTCAACCCACTTTACAGAAATTTAGCTCATCCCCATGGGTTTATGAGCATACAAACAGGAAGCAAAAATTACAAACAGTAATTAAAAATCTTCGAACACAGAAAATTAAAAGGGCAAAAGCTATATCCAGAGAATAGCTCTACTACAATGCTAAGGAAATTACACAAATTAAAAATCCCTAAAACTCAGAACTGAAAACAGTAAAAATTAAAATCAAAAGAGACCCAGTGCAGAAGAGGAGAAGAAAGCCTACAACGCTTTTTCTTCCTCTTTTTATAGCTGATGCTCCATCATGCAAAGCGGTCCACACCTCAGCCCTCGCGTGTGCTCTACGCTCTTCCCAATCGTGCGTCTCCTTTTGCACGGGTAGCAAATGCACACCAAAAGAATCTTCAGCCAACACTCCTAACAAACTCCAGCTCACTCAATCGGTTAAGGGACGTGTTTGGCGTTTTTTGTATCAAACCAAAAATCGGTTAGGATTGGTGTTTTGGTTGGTTTGGTTCTCAAAAGGAACCGTGGGTGAGGCTAAGGTTCTGTGGCTTGACCGAAAATTAAAGGATGGTTCGGTTTGTTGGTTCGATTGAAGAAAAGAATCTGAATGGATGGCTTGAGATGGGGTTTGGATGGTGTATCTGTTCACAGAGGTGCTGTGCTAGGGTTCACAAGTTTGCCTCTTTTGTTTTCACGCCTATGAGCCTTTCTTTTTCCTTTCTTTCTTTTGTTTCTTCATTTGGGCTCTTAATTTGCTTTGTAATAGAGCGGCCCACTCTTTTTTTTCATTGCTTTTTCTATTCTTTTCTTCCCTTTTGTCCTTCTAACTTGTAATCTAAAACTCCAGCCCAAGTTTTTGTCTTTCTTTTCTTCTTTTCTTTGCTTGGAAATAACACTTTGGGCCTGAAAAATACAAATACAAGCTCATTAGCTCCACATTCAGAATTATTCATCTCAATGCAATTTAGGGTTAATATTATACACAAAATATTCTTTTCATTTATATTTTCACATTAAACCACATGCTTCAAGTCACATTTCATGGACTTATCAACAACATTCAACAATTCACGTACATATATCTAACAAATTTCTGCAGAGTAATCCGCCTGCATATATATGATATGTGTGATGACTATATCCATCCCAAGGGAAAGCAAGATTGACTTGATCAGATTCAAATGCCATTAGCACGTGCAATAAATGGATGAACAAAGTATATGAACATCTTAACAAATTAAGTGGACGAAGAAAAAGGGAAGGAGCATCTTTCCCACCTAGCCCATTCAACAATAAGGGAGACGTAGGTTAGTTTAAATTACGCATTTTTTTTAATTCTATGACCCTAATTAATTTAAATTAGGTGGGAAAAAGGGCCTGAGTGGGGTGACAAATATCCAGTTCTACCCCAAAGGTTCTTTCGAGGATCCAAACCCCTACTCTTTTGATAATTCGTCCAACCTGAGACTCATATTGTTGGGCCGTACAGGGGGAGCTTATGGCGGGGAGAGACCGCTAATCATAGGCTAAGTGAGCAACAACATTAAGTGGGCTTAGAATACTACAAACAAACTCAAAACCTTAAGGAATTAAGTACATGGGTCCTTCCACTTATATGGTGCCCACTTAATCCATTCTTGACCAATGTGAACCTTTTTCACACGTGGATTCCTCAACTTCTCTCCCTCAACTTCTCTCCCTCAAGTGTCAGTCATAGGCCCATATTCTTTCCCCCTCAAGGAGAGGCTTCTTCGAGTATGAGGTTCATCAATGCTTGGTTTCTCATCAAACATTGGCTCTTTCATCAAGGCTTGGCTACACTCATTAAGACATTGGCTTTCCACATCAAGACATACTCGGATCATCACGGGTCAATCCACCATTAGCTCTTATACCAATTGTTGGGTCGTGCAGGAGGAGCTCATGCCAGGGAGAGACCGCAATCATGGGCCAAGTAAGCAACGATATTAATGGGCTTGGAACACCACAATCAAACTCAAAACCTTAAGGCATTAGGTGCATGCGTCCTTCCATTTATATGGTGCTCACTTACTCCATTATTAACCAATGTGAGATTTTATTTCACTCAATCATTCACATTTGGATTCCTCAACACATATTTATCTTAGATAAGTTATGTATGTTATGTAAAATATTGACGTTACCTTAGTTGACTACTTAAAATGAGCTAAACTTTAATTGATGTAGTCAGTAGTTATTTAAAAGTATATATTGCATAATTTTTTTACATAAATCACATGTATCCTTCACGGGAAGCAATACTGTTCGAGGTGGAACATCTACATCATGATGGGACTAGCTCTCCGAAAGAGATTTTTCGCTATCACATAGATTTCAACCCAAGAGCTTACTTAAACGAATATTGCATAAAATTTTCAAATAGGATAAGACCACCTTTTTTATAAACAGAGAATTTTTTGTTGAGGTTCCATCTTACCAGTTAAGACAATTCCCATTAACATTCCTAGTTGACATAAATTTATGATAAGCCAAGGGCTGTGGCTCCCCAAGGCACAAAATACTCCTTTAACAAACTACAAGTTTTCCAATTCCTTAAAAAAAAACTTGAAAAATTTCAATCTAAATTTATATTTTGCCGGCCTCCTAAAGAAAAAAAAAATCAAGACCCCAGCTCCATCCTTAAATATATAGAGCTAATTCTTTCTCCAAAAGAAAATAAAGAAAAAAAGAAAGAAAGAAAATGCAACGAAATTTAAAACTTTTTGGTGATCGATTGTGGCATAGAGTTCACTTGTTTCGTCAATGACTATATATGAATAATATAATGCATCTCCTTCTAGCTAGCTCTTTCAATTAAAAAGGGTTAAATTCCATTTTCACAACACGCATAATGGCATTTCTCCCGAAATTACGAGTCTTCTACTTACAAAATCAAAGTCAACTAATGAATAATAAGTGAATTGCATGACCTTTCAATCCGACCATGATTCTTTTTTCTTTCTTTTTTAGATGACCTTTCAACCCCACATAAGACCATCTACTAGTATATATCTATACGTATACTGTGCACCCGTTAATTTCCCTATATATAAAGTTACATACACTTATCTTTAACATAGGCTTCAAATTGTGTTAGATCATAGAGTGGAAGAGTGTAAGAAAATGGCACCAGTGAGAAAGAATATGATACAACACTTCACTCATCCAAGCCATCCTCTAACCTACATTGCAAGAAATACACAGTTTCTCTGTGATGGATGCAAGATACTAGGAAACGGCAACAGATACCGATGCAGCACGTGCGATTTCGATTTGCACGAGTATTGTGGCACGTGCCCAACCTACCTCTCATCCTTCATGCACCCCATACACCAACTCACCCTAGCTGTTCGAAGACCCCAAGGTGCACGCCATAACGAACGTGTCTGTGACGTGTGTGGTACACATGTTAATGGCTTGTTCTACAGGTGCAACCTGTGTGATTTCGATGTGCACCCTCTCTGCACACAAATGCCACAGTACACTTGTCACCCTCTGCACCCAAACCATGTTCTGAGGCTCCAACCTCAGCCAGGAACGTTATCTTCTGGCCGGTGCATGGTGTGCAACACGACGTGCAATTTTTGGGGCTACAGGTGCGTGGTTTGTGAGTACTTTGGTATTCATCTTCAGTGTGTTTCAGCACCGGTTGCTTCTGGTTATGCGCATTATGGTTCTGGGTCTAGTTCTGTTTCTGGTTTGGGTCGTGTTTTGTATAGTGCGTATCAGAATCTAAGTTCGAATCAAGGTGGTGGTTTTGGTGGTAATGGTGGTGCAACATATGGTGACAATGTAGCGGACATTATTGCTTACTTTGCAACCAGTTGGCTGAACGGGTGATTCTTGTGGTAAGAAAAAAACTGAGAAAATAAAGAGTGGAATTATGTGTTGATTTTTATTATGTTTTGTGATATGTGATCTTAAATTGGGATGTTAATTTTCATGTGATGTTTTTATATGATCATATAATTATGATAAATGAGGCGGATCAGGTTTTTTTTTACCATTCTTCCATAATTAAACTAAAAAAATATCATTATGCCTTTGTTTTTAAACTATTTAAAAAATATGACATTGTTTGCCAACATAAAAAATATGACATTTCCCATAAACATATATGCCCTTATTTGGCTGTTGACTGGTGCTCATACTTGAATACGTAACCAACATACTCGAGTAAATCAGGTGTCATGAGTTTCTCCTCGAGTACAAGACCTTGATACTCAAGTATGAAACCATATACTCGAGTATTAGGGTCCTAACTTAGTATGATGAGTTTTTATCATAAAACTTTGAAAGATTGTAACTTTTGGCTCGATGGCCCAAATCATGTGATTTTTGCTCTGATTTCATGTAACTTTTTGAGATCTACGAGCTAGAAGATTCCCAAACGATTATTTGTTATTGTTCGAAAGTAAAAAATTTAAATAACATCATTATCAAAGATAAAATATGCCAAACGGGGCACAAAGAAATATTTTTGGGGAAATTTATTGGTCCAAGGGATTTTCCTGCGCGTTGCTCTCAAAAAGTTATGTAAAATAAAATAAAATAAACCTAATTCAGACACCCGAGTCAAAAGTTATGGCCTTCCAAAATTTTATGGTAAAATTTTTCAAATTTTGTAATGCAAATAGGTCTTAGGATACCCCCAAAGCCCCTCCTCAGATCACCCAAGTCAAGTCCAATATTATGAGTATATGCCCATAGAAACTTGTTTGATCCAAAAAAATCTCTTGAAAAAAATTTATATGGCTCAGTTCACTGATATAATCGATTAATGTATACTGGTTTAATCGATTACTCGGTTTAGTCAACGGTCAGGAATGCGTGATATGAGAGTTTTATAAATAAATAAAAAACTCAACTCTCGCAAGTAACTTGGATTGAATACTCAAGTATTGTTCGTGATATAGGTTTTTATGAACATTTATACACTCGAGTACACCTCCCACATACTCGAGTAAATATTCATAAAAACTCATATCACGAATAATACTCGAGTATGTTACCTGCGTACCCGAATATTTACTGTTTTGCGCAATTTACTCAAGTATCAACCTCCTGTTGTTAAGTACATAACTCGGTCAATGATCAAACAAGGGTAGATTAGTGTTATGTTTTGGTATGAGGGCAAAGCGATAATATTTATTTTAATTAAGAGAAAAAGGGTCTATAAGCAAACATGATCAACTTACACCAATTTAAGAATTGTTCATTCTCGTGAGTCTAATAGTTGTGATTTATTAGGCCATAATCATTAATAAATTATTAATTTTCAATAAATCATAATTGTTAGATACACGAAAATCAACAGTTAAGATTTGGTGTAAGACTTATATATTATTCTTATACTGATGTAAGTTGATCATGCCTTATATATATATATATATATATGGGAAAAATATTTATCCTTTTAAAGGATGATCATTTTAGTTAAAACTAGTATTTTATTTAAAATTTAAATTAAAACAAAAAATACTCATTTTTCCCCATTATTTCCATTGTGTACCTATTTGTTTTACTTAAAAGGACACGATTCTATATCTTTTCAAAGGATAAACACCAACCCAATATATATATATATATATATATATATATATATATATATATATATATATAACACTTTACACAAATGTAAGAATGATATTTACACAAATGTAAGAATAATAAGTCTTACACTAAATTTTATGGGCTAAGATCTTTATTTTTCTCTCTATCTATGTTTCTCAGCATTGTTCCCAGCACTCTAACCCAGTTCTTGATTTAAAAGCTGGTTCTTAACCCTTCATTATAGATTATCCCTAATCTTGTAATTGCCCATTAACAAAGTTTTGATTCCCAATTTCCCAATACAGATTCTCAAATTTTGATCGAGAATTAGCAATGGCCAAGCACTTCATGCCATATCCATATTCTGTTAATTGAACTTCAAGAAACCTGCTTCACGAGTCAATTCGATTATTGGGTCTGTTAAATAACGAGAGAGTGAGAAAGCAGAGAGGAACATTTGAAATAATATTCTGTGTGTATTGATCTAATTCAGAGAGTTACAATATATAGAGACTCTAATAGGCTTTAAGTGAAAGGCTCAGACCTAATTACAATCATCATAATAACAGACTAATACAATCAGCATAATTACAGACTAATCAGCATAATTACAGACTAATCATATCTAATCATATTTAATATATTCTAACACTCTCTCTCAAGCTGGAGCGTATAGGTCATAAGCACCAAGCTTGTTACATATAAACTCTATTCTAGGACCCCTCAAAGATTTTGTAAACACATCTGCTAATTGCTCATTAGAGGGTACAAAACTAGTTTTAATTTCACCAGCAAGAATCTTTTCACGAACAAAGTGACAATCTATTTCTATAGGCTTGGTTCTTTCATGAAACACTGGATTTGATGAAATGTGCAGAGCTGCTTGATTATCACAAATAAGATTTGTCTATCTAGTGTCTCCAAACTTAAGCTCTTTGAGAAGTTGTTTAAGCCAGATGAGCTCGCAAGTAGTAGTCTCCATGGAGCGGTATTTTGCTTCAGCACTTGATCTGGCAACCACGCTTTGTTTCTTACTTTCCAGGAAATCAAGTTGCCTCCAACAAAGACACAATACCCAGAAGTAGATCTCCTATCAGCTGGACAACCAGCCCAATCAGCATCACAGTACCCAACAACTTTATCACGACCTTTATCTTCATATTCAAGGCCTTTTCCTGGAGATGCCTTGATGTACTTAAGAATACGAATGACTGCATTCCAATGTTCTTGACATGGAGAATTGAGAAATTGACCGACAACACTCACTGCAAAGGAAATATCAGGCCGAGTGACTGTGAGGTAGTTCAATTTTCCAACCAATCTTCTATACTGTTCAGGATCTGAAAAGGGCTCCCCCTGATTTGGTAGAAGCTTGATACTTGGATCCATAGGAGTATCAACAGACTTTGAATTCAACAGAGCAGTTTCTTCAAGGATATCCAGAGCATATTTTCTCTAAGATATCACAACACCAGTTTTAGATTGGGCCATCTCGATTCCCAAGAAGTATCGAAGTTTCCCAAGATCCTTAGTCTGAAAATGATGACATAAATGTTGTTTCAATCAAGTGATCCCATGCCGATCACTGCCTGTGATGACAATATCATCCACATATACCACCAGATAAATAGATCCAGAAGCAGAATGACGATAAAAGAGAGAATGATCAGCTGCACTCCGAGTCATGCCAAAAAGTTGAACAACACTGCTAAATTTACCAAACCAAGCTCGTGGAGATTGTTTGAGGCCATAGAGAGACTTACGGAGACGACAAACAAGACCTGACTCCCCCTGAGCAACAAATCCAGGAGGTTGCTCCATATAAATTTCTTCCTCAAGATCACCATGAAGAAAAGCATTCTTAATATCCAATTGGTAGAGAGGCCAATGGCGAATAGCAGCCATGGCAATAAAAAGACGAACAGTAGACATTTTCGCCACAGGAGAAAAAGTATCAATAAAATCCAAGCCAAAGACTTGAGTGAAACCCTTCGCCACCAAGCGAGCTTTAAGACGATCCACTTGACCATCAGGTCCAACCTTAACAGCATAAATCCATCTGCAACCAACCACAGATTTTCAAGAAGGAAGAGGCACCAGATCCCACGTGACATTATGATGAAGAGCACTCATTTCATCAATCATAGCTTGTCTCCATCCCGAATGTGAAAGTGCATCACCTGTAGTCTTAGGAACAGATACAGAGGACAAAGAGGAAAGGCAAGCAAAGTATGATGGAGAAAGACGATGATAACTAATATTGACTGTATACCTGGCCAGAGGGCGAGTATCACGAGTACCCTTACGAAGAGCAATGGGAAGGTCACTATCCGAAGGTGGAACCGAAGCCGTGGGAGGAGATGCAGTTGAATGTGAGTCCACAGAGACATCTGATGAACTATGCTCGATCTCATCAGCAGAAGAGGTGATAGAAGGAGAGTCAGAAACATGGACGGGTAAAGACGGAAGGTAAAGAAGGTCACTTGGGAGGGATGACTGTACAAAATCAGTATCCACAGGAGTAGTAGAGGATCCAAAAAAGAGAACTGATTCAAAAAAGGAGACATCCGCCGAGATAAAGTATCGACGTAAAGTGGGAGAGTAGCAACGGTAACCCTTCTGAGACCGAGGATAACCCAGAAAAACACATTTATGAGACTTGGAAGCTAATTTATCCAAACCTAGACCAATATGATGAACAAAACACGTAGAACCAAACACATGTGGAGTTAAAGGATATAAAGCTTGATGGGAAAATAAAATAGAGTGAGGTACCTTATGATTGAGAACAGATGATGGCATGCGATTAATGAGATAGCATGCAGTAAGTATAGCATCACCCTAGAATGTGTATGGAACATTGCCATCAATTAACAAGGCACGAGTGGTTTCAACCAGATGGCGATTCTTGCGCTCGGCTACACCATTTTGTTGAGGTGTATGAGGGCAAGATGTTTGATGAAGAATGCCATGAGATGAAAAGAATTGTTGAAATTGATGAGATAAGTACTCACATGCATTATCACTACGAAAAGTACAAATATGAATTCCAAATTGAGTTTTTATTTCATTATAAAATAACTGAAAAATAGAAAACAATTCAGACCGATTTTTCATTAAAAATAACCAAGTGCATCTGGAATAATCATCAATAAAAGTAACAAAGTACTTAAAACCCAAAGTAGAAGAATGACGACTTGGTCCCCAAACATCAGAGTGGACCACAGAAAAAGGAGAAACAGCTTGACGACTAAGACGACTTGGAAACGTACTACGAGTATGTTTCC